GATCATGGAAAGTGTGGCTCTCAGCCCAGGTCCACTCAGTGCTTCCAAGTTTCAGCTCTATAGGTAAAGACAATGTTTCTCAGCGGGTGTTGTGGGGGAGAGGTACCCATCAACAGGAGGGTAGATGGTCATGGCAACTTACACTGATGAATAAATTTTTTGATATGGAGTTGGGGACATAATCTCTGGGGAGTGTGCCCATACTGTAAAGAATTACCATATATTGATTAACACTAGTTTAAAAACATTTACAGAATGAAAGCGAGTTGTTTGGACGCACCATACGAGTTAATTTAGCCAAGCCTCAGAAGGCAAAGGAAGGATCTTCTCGTGCTGTATGGGCTGATGATGAGTGGTTGAAAAAATATGCTGGTGCAACTCTTGAAGGTCAGGAAGGTGCTGAAGAAGGAACTTCTGAAGGAACTAAGCGATCTGCAGAGGAGAGTGTAAGTATCAAACTATTATGTTGAATCATCATTTATGTTTTCTCTGTATTTTTATACTTAATTGATTCATAAAGGGATGTCCTTAAGAAAGTTTATATGTGTACTGTGATTTTTTTATACTAGTGTTGGTAACATTTTTTGAAAAATCTTTCCAAATCAAAAAATAGCAAAAACATTCAGAAAGGACTGTGAATAGATATATGATATGTTTCATTATCAAATCCAGCAGATGGGTAAGAAAGTGTAGTCACTCCCTCCTATCTCTAAAAAAACTGATAGATAATTCAAGTGCTAAACTTATAATATGATGTTTCAGGAAGAAGAACCAAAAACCAAAAAGAAAAAGACAAATCCACAGGTCTACTTTGATATTAAAATTGGCAAAACACTTGTGGGAAGAATAGTAATGCAATTACGAGCAGATGTTGTACCCAAAACTGTTGAGGTAAGTCCATTTCTTCACCGTTGCAACATGGTACTTGTATTGTCCACTGTAGTTTTGTTCTATGTGTTTTGATTTCCTTTCTTTATTTTATTTTTTTTTTTTTTCTTTCTGTCTTTCTTTTATTCTCTCTTTTTCTTCTCCTTTACTTTTCTAATGCTATTGACATTGTGATTATGGGACCATTGAATTACTAATTGCAATGATAAATAAAAAAGAAATAGGTGAAATATGTAGTTATAGACTCGTTGGTTACTAAGTTTTTATGGAGCCATCTATGTTCTATTGAATTACTAATTGCAATGATAAATAAAAAAGAAATAGGTGAAATATGTAGTTATAGACTCATCGGTTACTAAGCTTTTATGGAGCAATCTATGTTCTAAACAAAATTAAAATACTAAGAGCACAGTGGACATTGCATGTATGTACCTACCAATGCCAATTGTAAGGGGCTTAAGAATGTATTTTTTGTAAGATCCATTTCACTGTGTTCATTGCATGTAAAACTTTGGGTAGCCAGAAGCTTCAAACACTCAAAGTTGTCATGATACTGCCTGTGATATTTTGTATTTGATCATGTCATTTATTAGCTAAAGAACAGTATTTTGAGTAGATTTATAGGTAAGTTAGGTAATGGTTTCTGTTGTTTTTGTGCCTATTTTGTGACAGAAATGACAAAAAAAATGTAAAACACCCGGCTCATTTAGTGGTGTTTTCATTTTGTTTTTTTTTAATTATTATTATTATTGTTGTTGTTGTTATTATGGATGGTATTATTATTTTTGTTCATTCTATTCTTGTTATGACTGTCATTGTTATCATAAATATGATTATTATAACAATAATAATGATATTGTTATTATTGTTATTGTTATCATTTTATTATTATTTATATTATCACTATTATTGTTATGTTGTTGTTATTAGTGTTACTGTTATTGGTATTTTTATTGTTATTATTATTATGTTTATTATTCTATTATTTTTATTATTATTATTATATTATTGGTGGTTAATTTTACTATGATTATGATTATTGTTGTTGTTGTCATATATCATATCATTAGCAATAGCATTATATTATTATTATTATTATATTATATTATTATTGTTGTTGTGTTGTTGTTATGAATTTTATTATATTATTATTATATATTATTTTACTATTATTTTTATATTTATTATTATTTATTTATTTATATTATTATTTAATTACTATTATTATTATTACTAATTATTTATTATTTTTTTTTATTTTTTTTTTATTTTTTTTTTTTTTTTTTTTTTTATTATTCTTATTATATATTATTATTCTATATTACTATTATTATTATTACTATTATTGTATTATATATTATGTTATTATACTATTATTATTACTATTTATTTATTATTATTACTATTTTTATTATATTATTATATTATTATTATTATATTATTACATTATATTATATTCATTACATTTTATAATTACTTTTATGTTATTACTACTATTGTATTATATTATATTATTA